GTAAAAAAAAAAAAAAAAAAAAAAAAAAGGTAAAACTCTTGAGGAAATAGTCAAGGACTTTCTGAACAGAACTTTTCTATTATGGCTATGTAAATATCAAGACAGATCTGTGTGATAGGCTATATTTTTCCTCATAAAACTTCATGTTTTGCCCAAAAATAATTATTTTAATCTCAGTTTACAGTTCATTTCTAAGCACTTTGCCTAAGACAAAGCCATCTTTCATTGCCTGGTTGCATGCAGACAACTCATGTGTCTCACTGACCCTCAGGCCTAAGCACTGCTGCGGGGCTCACCCTGGAATCCCATCTGCATTGTTCTAGGAATTCCTTCTGCTTCTTTCCTATGTAGACCCTATTTGGTGATCACCTGTCTTTTCCTCTTTTTTTTTTTCTAGTTGGTAAGCATGCCTTCCCTGAAAACATCTTCCAAGTCTGTGGATTGTTAGGAGTGTTTGGCTGCGAATGGAATGTTATCTAACTTTATAGAAATTATTTTCTCTTCAGTTCTAGAATGCATTGCTTCTTGTCTTTAGTGTCCGGTGCGTCTGCTGAGAAATGCTATTTCTCTCTGATACTGATCCCTTAGAAACGGCTATAATTACTTTTTATCCCGCTGCTCTGACTTCTGGATGCTTTGCTGTGAGATGGGTCTGTTTTCATTCCTCAGCCGTGGGCTTACAGTGGGCTTTTCCGACCTGGAACCCACTGTGCTTCAGTTGGGAAATGTCTTATATAGTTTATTTGAAAAAGGTTTTCTCCTCCAATGTCTCTGTCATTCGTTCTGGAAATCCCTTTATTCTAATACTGGACACACAAGCCCGATGCTTAGATTTTCTGACTATTCTTCTCTCTTATACTTTTGCTTCCCCTAATTCTAGGGTATTTACTGAAATTTACCTTCCAATCTTGCTATTGTTTCCTTTTATTTCTGTAATAATAATCTTCATTTTCAGCAGCACTTTAGTGTTTTTTTTTTCTTGGTTCCCTTTTAATAGCACTATATATGCAAATTTCATTTTATATTCCTTTTTACAATAAAGGCAGTATACTGCACACATGCTTTTGCGTGTTTGTTTTTTCACCTAACATGTTGGAGGTCGTTCTTAGCACATAGAGAGGGCTTCTTTCTGTTACACGTTGACTGTCATCCTCTGAAATATTTGGTATTCCTCCATCTTGAAGTACAAATTCATTTTGGAGGCTCTCCAACTGAAAACCTAGTCTTACTATTTTTCTCCTGTTAAATTAATTTCAAGTGTCTGTCCATCTTCCCATTTATAAAATGCTATCCTCATTTGTTATCTCCTCTCCCATTTGCCTTATTTGTATGTTTATGTCCTTTTAAAATGTATTTACTATCTATCATTCTAGTGTTATTTACAAGCAAGGTGATAAATGTCTATTCAGTTCAACATGTGTAATTGGAAGTCTTTAGACTATCTTTTCACCAGTTAGGTTTTTCTTTTTATTTCTTCCCTTTCCCTCTCTTGCTCATTTATAAATGTAAAGTTTCAGTCTGAGGAATAAATAGAAATAAGAATGAGTCATATAATTTTGTTGATAATTAAATATTTATCAGCATGCTGACAATAGCCTACGTGGTCTTCCTGAATGCCTGAAGTCAGTAAGTTTATTTTCTTAAAAAGATTTATTCTGACTTCTGGTTCTAGATGTCCAGGGTCTAGAGCCAGCACCAGGTGGTGACTTTCCTGGCCAAGTCATCACATGATGACAGACAGGGAGTACACTTCCACGTGTCCTGTGGTCTTTGTCTCTTCTTAACAAGCCACCAGGTCTCAGCGATGGGGGTTCCGCCCTGCTGGTCTCATGTAGTCCTAATGACCTCCCCACAACCCCACCTCTGAACATCATAGTTGAATTAAATTTCCGCCTTCCTAATACCCCAAAATGGAGTGAAATTTCAGTCTCTGAGCCCTTGGACACGTTCAGACCTTATCCAATCCATGACAGTGAGCAAGCAGATTTTGAGGCCATAAGCCACATTTGGGGTTCTCCTGCATCTGAGTGTATCCTCCTCATGTTAGCGAGAAATAATGCCGGAAGCCATTTGCTTTTTCTCGTACAGCAACACAAAGTAAGTAGCGTGTGGTCTTATCCCCATCAGGAGGTGGCTTCTTTTTTAAAGCTTCAAAACAGGATGAGACCAAACTCTTATGAAAATGAAGACACCTATCTAGAGGAAAACTCATTGTAAAATGAAAAGCTGTTCCAAGACTTTGAATGTCTTCTTTGTCCACAGACTTAATTAGGTGTCGAATTTTGAAAAGAAAACAGCATTGTTGTTCCCTATTGTTTCTTCTTTTCTCACAGATTTCGCTACTTGCTGTCTTTTAGATGTTACTACTATTCAGTAAATGTGCAACTAAAAAAAAAGCACTCTTTAGACTGTTAAGATTCAAGCTTATTGGAAAATTTAAAATGTCACCAGTGATTCCATGTAAATGAGAGATTAACATCTCTTGCTTCTGTTTGAACCCCCCCAAACACACACACACACATCATACTGTACAACCTATCTGTTTGATAAAACCCCCTTGGCTGTAGAATACCTCACTTCCAATCAGTATGATTGAGAAACTACTTCTGGAGCAGAACTCCAATGTGTTTAGTAAGTGTGTGTTATTACATGACTGTTGTTTTTATTGTTTAAAGAGTGGTTTATATGAAAAAAGAATAATTTGCCTGTTGGAATGAATCAGTCTTCAGTGTGGTTTGTGTGTGGATCATTTCCATTTTTAGTGAGCTGTTCAGTGACATTGTCTTGTAACTTGACCGTAGTTTTATCTAATTTTGGCCTGTGGTTTCTCTTCTATTTAGGCATAATGACATCAATAGAAAAATGAAGAAATCCTACAGCACAAAGCATATTGCTGAGCCAGAGTCAAAAGAACTGTTTTTGTAAATCACTTTTTAATATCTCTCGCTGATGCTCTTTGGACACCGTTGGAAATTACTGGACTATCTTCTGTGGAAACAGAATGATGAGAATAATCCTTCACCAGCAGAAGAACAGAATATCAGAATGCCTTAAATTTATAGGGTTAGACTAGAAGATACATTTTGGGGTGATATTTGTATGTTAATTTGTTTTTTTTAAGGTGCTGTTTAAAAGCATGATTGAGGAAATGTATATTTTTAAACATTGGATTGATCCAATCTACTCCCAGTACCTCCACCAAGCCACTGATACCTTTTTGTATTTCACGGATTGCATGAGTATTTGCTAATGTTGGTTGAACTTCCCTTTCCCTATAACATGGACAGCTTTGGCTCAGCTCCTCAGTGGGACCAGGTCAGTGGTATTGTTTTCTGTCGAGTATTTTTTTCTGTCATTTCTACTTTTTGTATAGAGGAAATAAAACAAGGTTAACAGCCACCTATAAGCTCGGGGCACCTACTTTCTAATAAATCTGTGATATTCTGACTTCAAAGGGACTTGGAAGGTATTTTGACGGCCAATATTTGATTTCAAGAACCAACTGCCCCATTTAGTTTTCTGCTCATGGGAGTCAAGTAAAGCATTCTAGATTTCATTTAAGTACTAAAGATCAGACAAGTGTATGAAGTAAGCCAATATATTTTGCTTTCTCAAATCGCAGCATTGACACGGGAAAATACTAATGACGACTAAGAGTTTAGTCCTTCACCAGTCACTCTTTTCTGGCTCCAACACATTCATTACAAGGCTTGTCTAATCCCTTTAGGAGACAGTGTGGAGCCCACATTCTTAACAGCCTTATTGATGCAGCTTTTTAAATCTCCATGAGCAGTTAAGTTCTAGAAGGTTTCCTCTTATCATGTAAAAATGTATTTCTGTTGAAACTTAAAGAGTTATTTTCAAAGTGTTGGCATGGTGTGTATAAGGCCTGTCGAGTTTCAGTTTGAAAGTAGAATGTATTCTTAGCAGTCAGAGGGGGCACTGGATGCTATTACAGTTGCTAGCAGTTTTACCGCAGTCACATGTGAGCCACTCTGCCTCCTGGTGCACAGAGCAGGTCAAACATCTGAATTGGAGGAAATCTTACATGGGTCAACATGGGCTGGATGAGCTACAGTGAGGCATAGAAGAAAGATTTGAGGGTTGTTTATGTACCAGACGTGTCTATGTGGTGATATCACTACTCCTATTTTATAACTTTGGACACTAAACTTCAGGAAGTTTAAGTCCCATGTCTAACATAATACTAGTAAGTAGCATGAGTAGGTTTTGCTCTCCGTTTGCTTGTTGTCATCACTATGCTACCCTCTCCATCCTGTACCACACGATTTCCTCAGCTCATTGACCACTGGGCTGAAACACAGGAAGCACGACCGTACTTCTGAACAATTACTTGGTCTTGGGCAGGGGACGTTGCCTCCCTCAAAAACTGGCCTATGTACACATCTAGGGGCTGGGTCCCCTCCAAATTACAGATCTACATGTATGTGAAGTTTAGCCAGTTCTCTCCATCCTCATTTGGGTCCTGTGAGCTGCTGGTGTCATATGTAGCTCTGCTTTTCTTATACTACGTCATCCTCAGATGAGCCGCCCTGTCTGATTTTGGACCCTGGGCCTCACCTGCCCTTTTCCTTTGCTCACTCATACTTTACTGTTGCTTGAGATTCTAACAGAAAATATGTGACATGCACATATGAGAGGTTGATTGCCTATGTCTTCTGCCTGGTTCAGACAAGATACGAATCACACAATGAGGCAACCTTTGGCACTTGGCCCAAACTGGGGTCTGCAAAGAAAGAGGACCCAAAGAGTGCTCCTTTTCTCTGGCCCCAGAGGTCCTAGTTTTGTTCTGAAGTGGTGTTTTTTAACATGAAGAAGTCTTGGGGTCCTGTAGAGATTTTTTTTTAAGCAAGACAGACCAATTAAACATAACCAAGACAGTTTCAAAAGTTTGAAAGAAAAAGATCATCTTTCTAGAAAACCTTGGTAATTCAACTGTTTAGTGCCAGTAACATTTCAGGTCCCACAGTTCTAGGTACAAAAGAACAAAGACCACAATAGGTAAATTAGGAAAGCTGAGTGAATTCAGATCAGCCAAGCTACAAGAAAGCACACTCTGTGTCTAATGATGTTGCTAGGATTCTAACAGCGCTGGCCCCTAAATCAGCACCTACATCTGGACTGTCCAAGATCCCTGTGAAATGATATATTATGACTGCTGGAAATTAGTAGATGATAATTTCCTTACCACAAACTTATGTGCAGCATTTAAAAAATGAAAACAGAAACTTATTTTTCTTTAGGAGTTGAGACACATTTACATGTTAGAGACAGAGTGTAAGGAGAGCTTTGGGGCCCGTGCCCAAGTCCTTCCCACTGGACTAGTAAAATAAGTAAAGCCCTATCTGAATGCTTAGCTACATGCAGCAGAATAGGAAACTCGGCTCCATTATAAAAAACAATCACAACATCTGTCAGCATCTTTTAAATACTGGCTTCTTTTATGCCTCTAAAGGGACTTGTATTGGCAAAGTTCAACACAGCAAATTAAAAACATTTTTTAGAAATGCTAACAAGATACTAAACCATCGCCACTTTGATAGATTGAATTCCCATAGCTCGTTCTCATTAAACATTAGTGTCAAGACTTCAGCCCTAACAAAGAAGCTCTGCATGTGGGTCCTGAGGGTGGAAGTGGGAATAAGACTCTGAAAGAGGATCTTCAAGTAAGATTTTGAGAATATTTTTTCTCAAACAGAATAAGCATAAATAACATGATGACATAGGGTAGGTGAAGTAACTATAAAAATTAGATTCTTTGATCAGCATGAGTAAATGCTTTCTTTTCATGCCCACCTACATGCTTGATGTTAACTTGATAAAACTAAATGCACAAGAATAAGGAATTCATTGCAACAGAGTTGGTATCATTTCCTCCATAAAACAGGCTCACTCTGATACCCATAATTTTCATTTGCTGATAGGTCTGCCGTTGTATCCTGTGTCAACTCTGGCGTTGTTTCTCATTACTCTTCAACGATTGTGTAATTTTATGTAACTTTGAGCCTTTCATTTTTGCCCCTAGTAAGACCATAAGTTTGTTCATCTCAACAGAATCTTTGTATTACCTCTCAAAGACAGTGGTTAGCAAACTGTAAGAGTCTTTTTTGACAGCCCATATTCTCCTTTTCTTCTCATCTCTTCATTATCTTTACTCCATCCCTGCCTCGCTCTTTTCTCTCCTCTTTTCTTTCTCCCACTTTCCTTCTCTCCCTTGCTCTCTCCACTCCCTCATGCTGTCATTTTGCCTCACTTTTTAAAAATTCTTCTCTGCCCCGTGTCCACAAGATCTCAACACCCTACCTCTGGAATCTTCCTTGAGAAATGCCAGCAAAGAAACTGCCAGAACTAGAGATGTGTTGAACCCAAGTTTACAATGAAAAATAAGTCATCATTCATTTCTTGCCAAGCCTGTAACTAGATCAGATATCTTCCTGTACACTGATGAATTCAACAGACTGTAGTTTAGCCCACATCAAGGGCGAGGCCCTGTGCTAAGCATTCTAATTGAATAAAAAGACTTGGAAGTTGATGTAAAATTTTGAGACCAATGACGTTAGATCAAACTTCCCACATGCCTTTGAAGCTAGGAGTGGCCATGGGACTCAGTCAAGCTGATGAAAGATAAGTGAAGCTCACAAGAGTGGACCTACCAGAAGGAATCTTACCTGGCACTGGTATTTTGTTCCTTCTATGTCACTCTTCTGCCCCACTGGTGTAGAGTTCAGCCTTTTCAATTATGAGTACAAAGATCTCATGAGAGAAAAAATGGAAAAGAGGGGAGGGATAAGGACCGGTTCCCTGAGTGCTGCGCTTGCCTGCCCTGAATTGTAACCTACATTATTTGTTGAGTAAAGTAGACTCTAAGTCACTGAAACCTGGCACCTGGTAAGACTACCAAATACAAAGCCTGATGTATTCAACTAAGATATAATCAAAGCATCTGGTGAATAAGCTTAAAAAGTTAGAAGTGAAAAACACATTGTCATTAATTCCCCTTAAAACACTCCCTCTTGCTTTAAACACACACATTGCGTCGCGCTTGCCACTTTCTGACAGTTCTGGAAGTCCTCTTTTGTGCGTGTCTTTACCAGATATGGTCCAAAATACAGAGAACGCTGCTGCCAACCTCCATGTGGTGGGCAGGTGGGTCCATGAAAACGCTGCAGTGCACCTTCTTCTTCCTCGCTCATTCGATCTGGCACTGTACAACTTCTGGCTTTGCCCCAAAATCAAAATGACCATGAAAGACAAACATTTTGAAGCAATTCAGGACATTGAGGCAGCCAGGACAGCACAAGTAAAGACACTCATGGCTGGGGGCTCCCAGAACCACGTCTGGAAGTGGCAAGAATGACGGGAAAATTGTGCCCAAAGCCAGGGGGTGTATCTTCAGGGAGACTGATGGCAATGTGTCTGACTATAGTAAATATTTTTTAAATTTAAGCATTCACCTTATCGGTCGATTACACCTCATATGTATCCAAGTCATTGGAATAAAGCAGTATTTCACTGCCTTCTCTTAACCACCAGGCCTAAGACACATTTGGCTGTGCTCTAGAACTCTTAACTTTCTGTCACAGGACAACTTGAGAAACCAACTTGAAGAAGAAAATGTTTCTTTTCGCTCGTGGTTTCAGAGACATTAGTCCGTAGTTAGCTAGTTGCGTTGCTTTTAGGCCTCTGTCAAGAGACATTTTGGAAGGATATGAGTGAGGCAAGCTGCTTACCGCATGGTAGCCAGGAAGCAAAGAGCAAGAGTGAGCGAGAATGTACTGGCAGTATTCCTCCTCCTGGGCTTCTGTTTGCTTGTTTTTGGTTTGTTTGTTTGTTTGTTTGTTTTTCCTATCTGGATTTTAGGGATCCATAGGGTCAGATTAGGAAAGCAGCCGCCTTAAGAGGGGGCCTGTGCATCTCAGTGAGTGCTCGCGCTGGCAGCGTGTGGTTTTGCGACCCGCGTCTGTGGGGTCGAGCTGAGCTAACGGTGGTGTTGACGCCCGCCCCTGCACGGGCAGCAACATGCCTCCCAGTGCAGGCTGTCACGCCTACCCAATTTCCCCGTTAGCCCACAAGGCCACATGCCTAGCAACAAGCCCAGTGTCCAGTGAATCAAGTGTCAACCCGCAGGGGGAGGAGGGACAGGACCCCGACCCTACACTGCGGCCCCAGATTCAGTGGTGTCCCCGCTCAGCATCCCACCACTCCTGCGGCTCCTTACCACTTCCTTTTGCAATGTCTACGTAAACAAACTTTCACTTTGCACTGGTCTTCTGTTCTCGACTCCTCTTCCTCTTTCTACATTGGAGAGACAATCCCAGCAAGGGTGAGTATCAGGACCCCTAGGCCCCAGACCCACCAGATGTAATAGGTCCCCACCTGCTGGAGGGTGCTGCTCACATTCAGGACTGTTCTCCCCACTGAGTTTACTGTGCCTCGTGTCAGCCGTCTCTGGAAACACCTTCACAGACCTACACACACAAGTGTGCTTTGCTGACTTCCTACACATTTCTGAATCCAATCAAGCTGACAGTCAAGACTAACCATTATGAGGATCAGAATATACTTTGGTAGTTTGGTAAACAGTGCA